AATACTATTTGTAGAAAAAATAAAATTTTCATGAAAAATGAAGGAATTATTAGAAGAAATTTGATATATTTTGAATATTATATCTAGTGAAAAATAATTTTAAATAAGAATATTTATATATCAGATGAAACTAAAAGAAATAATTTATATAAAAAAATTAACAATTAAATTTAAGACCCCTTTTAATTTTTGCTTTAGACCACTAGTAGTTTGAGCCGCTCTTGAGGAACCCCTATTAATATCCCCTATATTACGGAGATGAATGGACTTCTTTTATAACGATAAAATATCATACAATAAAAAAAATATAGATGTATATACGTTTCTAGTAGATAAAAATCAAATTTTCATATTTTATCAATTTCATATTTAAACTAGAGAATATGACATGAGATTGAAGGAAACAGATCACATGGTCGTTGTGAAGTCGAACGATTGGAGTTTCTTGTGAGGCATGCAGCTCTTTTGTCCACTTCATCTGCAACTCCACATTCCTTAATTCTATAACTTTAATTACTTGTCTTTTTCAACAATACCACTATTATTCTTTTGTTACTTTTTCATTAAATTAGGCCGGTAAAAATTTACTCCTGCGTAATATTTCTATTAAATCAATATATTAAAGTGTGGACGGTGGGTTGATTAGTCGAAATCATCTGAATTTGATATTTCTAAACTTATAAAATGTCAATTTTGAATTTATCTCTACACTCATGACTGGTTAATTATAGTATATACATATATTTCACCTTTTTTTAAAAAAAAATTTAAAATATGCCCATGAATTAGCCCCACTTCGAAAGGGTTCCATCAACCTTTTAAAAGGAAAAAAAGGGAAATTGCTAGCTATATCGCATATATAGTGAATTAAAGTTTTTTCATGAAAATAACAGTGAGTTCGACGGCATTCATTTTTTAGAAATATATGAGCTGTCAATGCCCCAACTTATCTTAAGTTTTAAAATGCCATATAAGAAATATGTGTTTTTTTCATTAGTATATTTTTTGTTTATTATTTAAATCATTTAAGATATTATTTCATTAATTAAATAAAAAAATAATCTTGGTAATCACAAAAAATTGGACACAGTTATCTCTCGATGTCAATAATGTCAATTATGTTAAACGAATATATTTTTAATAACAACAACAAATAAGGTGGTAAAGTACTAATTAAATTAAAAAGGTAACAAAGAAAAGTCAAAGCTTATATAAATAGGGTCCCATAAATTGTATGTATGCAAATTGTTGTGGAAACAAGAGAAGCAATCAATGGGACAAAGTTGTAATACAAGATAAAGAATTAAATGAATTAATCATGTTTGGTTGGTCACGGGATCTCTATTATATTTATCGTACAACTATACGATATAAATAAAATAAAAAATACTTATAATGTATATTTTATTATTTTTATTTGTTTTTCGAGTGACCAATCGATAGGAAAACTTAATAATATGGAAGAAGTCTAATTAACAAACTAATCAAATAATGGAAACTGTGATTAATGTAAAAAGAGTCAAAAGGTATAAATTGGGCAGTGTATTCAAAAGCTGTCTGGACTTTATAATATTTTATAAAGGAACTAGATTCGTTTGATAATTAACCAAATATTATTTGTTTCTCGTATTGTCTTTCACCTTTATTCTAATTAATTATTTTATGTAAGTTATTTCGCTATAAATTATCTTAGTATGTATGCATATGTGGAACAATAAATGAATCGTATGATATAAATAATAGAATAAATAATTTAATAATTATCTAATAATTTCAATTAAATATAACATAAAATAATAATATGTTTTATTCTAATATTATTGTACCGACAAATATTTTAGTATTATATTCTTTGTCATCAGGTCACCATTCAGAATTAGTATATTTGTACATTGTACAATATTTATTAGCACGAATACCAACTTAATACTGTAGTCAAGGCTCAAAACACACTCAAATCATTGCTTATGACCATCCTTATTTTAAATGGAAATAAATTTAAAAAAATACCCCTTCGTCCACTATTATTTGTTGTAATTTTTATTTTTAGAATCAAATTATAAGAATTTTGAGTAACATATTAAAATATGTTTTTTCATCATATTAATATGTAAGAAAATTACAATTTATAGTACTTTTCATATAATACTTGAATATCTAAATTTTTTATTTAAAATATTAAATTAATATAATTTAATTTAACTTAAAAATTCATCAAATTAACTTATAAAAACATAACATAATAAATAAAAATAAATCAAAAAAAAAGTATTTAATTGTCAATAAGAAACTCCACTCCTTCTCCCCACACCCATCAAATAAAAAATCATAGTAAAACCATGGCACACAAGTAGAGGTTTAGCCCATATATATATACACCCACATTTCGTACGTTTTCAATTTTAATTTATTTATCTGATTTTAATCTAACACAAATTATATAAAAGTAAAAAGTAATAATTTAATATTAAAGCTTTAAATATTAAACATGAGATATCCAAATTAAAAATGATTACTCGATGTTGGATGTCTATATTAAAATTCAGTTAAATTTAAATACACGCTAAAGAATCTCAAATTTGAAATAAAATGCTCCTTAACAATAATAAATTGAATCTGAAATTTTGAATAAAAAAAAAATATTTATCACTTTACTACGATGATACTAGAGAGAATTGATATTGTTTAAGTAATTTGTAAGTACATTGTTATCGTAGTTGAAATATAGTGCGCATGGAGGTGTCTTTGGTTGTGGTGTACAAAGCTGCTAAAAAACAAAAAAGATAAATGTCAGAGCTTTTCTGCAAAGTAGTCTCCACAGAATAGTTAAAAGTTTCATGGGCCATAATGTGGTTGGTGCACACAATTAAATGTTATCACGAAAATTTGTATGTCAACTCTAAATATAAGCTAGTATTGTACTTTGAAATCTACTGTTGTTAAGTCAGAAATCATGCTCCCAAGCATGTTGTTATAAATTCTTTTATTAATTATCTTGTTTTTGAAAATTAATGTAGTTTTCAAGAGTTATTCTGGAGAAGCAAGTTTCAACTAAAAATTTGTGTTGATGGGAAGTTGACATAAAATTTGAAGGTTCTAAACTCCAATAGGACCCCATGTTAGAGATGTTTGATGTGCCCTTTAAATAGGAGCTAGCCCAAGTATCAACTACATGGGCTGTTTTCAAAATAGTGACATAGTTGGGCTACATATATAGTCACAGGAAAGGGAAGGGCCTTACCACTTAATTCCTTCAAGTGGCCTATCACATGGGACCTGAGTTTGTTCCCTAATAAAAACGTCTCCGTATTCGTAGGATTCAAATTCAAGAAAGTACCAACATGTTTTTATTCGTAGCATACTTATTACTCCAACAAAACTCTTAATGGTCTATAATTAAATCAGGTAAAATGAGACAAATTAGTTTAAGGCACCACATTGATAAATCATCATAATGTAACAAATAAGTTACTCGTTGTTTTCCTCTGTTTCAATTTGTATGACATGTCTTATAAGTAACTGAATAATTCATTAAAATTGTTAAGAATTACCAGTGGATAGTTGTGTTCCATGGACTCTGGTTAATGACTTTAACCTCCACATTATCGCCTGGTCCTAGATACTTGCCATTCACTGTTAGCCTATCTTTTCGTATGAAATAAACGTCTTACGTTTTTTCTTTCTGTCTGAAAATAATTAAACAAACACAAATCAGTTAGCTAATTACACTTAAATTAGCTAATGAGTTTCAAGTAAACTTAAGTTGTATGAAAAACGCCTAATAATTTAGGAGGATGAAGATGGCTTAATATTTTTACTTGCATAATAGACCAAGTCCAACAACAATCTACCCAAATATAAAATAAAATAATAAAACAAAAACTAGAGAACAAAGTCAAATTTCTCACTTAAAAAGAGGATATGTCTTTTTTTTATTATCTGATATCTATATTAAAGTTTGACTAATTTAAATTTACTCCGTAAAAAACCTCATACCCATATATCAAATCTGAGACAAATAATTATAAAGCTGCATTACTCCCTTTGGTGGTAAGAGGGCTATATCCACCTTATTGTTTTACTTGGTTGGATTTTCAGTTTATGAGAGTCCGATCGACCAGACAAAACTCAAAGAATCGATCAATGTTTAAAGCCAATATATATATATGCTCATTGATTCATGACTAAAAGCTTTTTCCGTTTCTTTTTTCTACAGACCCTATTATTTCATTTAATTCTAAGGCAACTCTACTAAAGTATTTGAGTTTTTCTAATCATATTTTTTGGAGAAAAAAAAAACTGAAACTATTTTCTTGTCAGTTTAATTCAAAAATAAAGGGAAAATTATGCAATTAAGTAAATTTATACTACTTAATTACTCATCACATCTATAGTTTGCTACCATTATCATTCGTAACTAACATTATACATTAATTACGTGGGCTGACTTCGAATTTATATAATTAGTCATGTTTGTATATGTATAATTCGTCAGAATATACAAATAAACATGTATAATATATAATTATTTAACCTATATACATATACAACTCACCTCTCTCCCACTCTCTGCCCTCTCTCGATCGCCTCTCTCTTCCCTCTCCCAATCTCTCTCTCATCTCTCCTCTCTCTCTCAATCTCGCTTGTCCTATATACAAATGTATATGTATAATATACAATTATATACATATAAAATCCACCTTTCTCCCACTCTATGCCCTCTCTCGCTCGCCTCTCTCCTCCCTCTACCATTCTCTCATGCCATATATACAAATACGTATGTATAATATACAATTATCTAACCAATATACATATACAATTCACCTTTCTCTCACTCTCTCTCCTCTCTCCTCTCTCTCCCAGTGTCACTCGCCTCTTTCCTCCGTATAACATGTAATTACAAAAATTGTAATTATCAAACTATAGGTATATGGAGAGTAATTAATTATTTTTAAGTGGTTGTATGTGAAAGTTTCCCAAATAATAGGATTCGTGGGCTGGGATGGCTGGGCCGATGTCAGAAGTTGTTACTTGTCAGCCCATTTTTGTCTCGGGGGCCATGAGCTGATTAGTGGATGTACGACTATCTCCGGCGAAATCAAATTGGTGTTTTGAGAGTTTGAAAACTAGCAATGCGCTTGAGAAGATTACACAGCACCTGTTCGCGTTTACTACTGAATGAACCGGCGAGCCATCCCAAAGCAGAATTACCACGCGCAAAATTAACCGGCGGTAAACCACCGGTGAAGTCAGCAAAAGCCAGTAGCTCAGATATAGTGCAATGGAACAGGTCTATCACCCAATACATGCGACAAGGAGAATGCGATTCCGCATTGACCTTATTCAACTCTATGCCTGCAAAGTCCTGTGTATCCTGGAACGCAATGCTTTCTGGGTATTTGTTGAATGGCAAATTGGACCTTGCTCAGAAGCTGTTCGACGAAATGCCTCAAAGAGATTTAGTATCCTGGAACATCATGCTTAGTGGGTATATCAAGAATAAGAATTTTGGTGCAGCTAGGATTTTGTTTGATCAAATGCCTGTTAAAGATGTAGTGTCGTGGAATGCATTGCTTTCCGGGTATGCGCAGAATGGGTACGTTGATGATGCTAGAAGGATCTTTATCATGATGCCTGTGAAGAATGAGATCTCTTGGAATGGACTTCTCGCTACGTATGTTCAGAATGGAAGGATTGAGGAGGCAAGGAAGTTGTTTGAGTCAAAGGATAATTGGCCGTTGGTTTCTTGGAATTGCTTGTTGGGTGGGTATTTGAGAAAGAAAATGCTGGCTGAGGCAAAGGTGCTTTTCGATAAAATGCCTGTCAAGGATCAAGTGTCATGGAACACGATAATTTCTTGTTATGCCCAGAATGATGATTTGGAGGAAGCCAGGAGGTTATTCGATGAGTCCCCTATTAAGGATGTTTTTACCTGGACATCATTGCTTTCTGGTTATGTACAGAATAGGATGGTAGATGAGGCTAGGAGGATCTTCGATGAGATGCCAGAGCAGAATGAGGTTTCATGGAATGCAATGATTGCAGGATATGTGCAGTCTAAAAGGATGGACTTGGCGAGGGAATTCTTTGAGGCAATGCCTTGTAAAAACATCGGCTCTTGGAATACAATGATAACAGGTTATGCTCAAATTGGGGATATAACTCATGCCAGAAGTTTGTTCGATTGTATGCCTAACCGTGATTGCATCTCTTGGGCAGCAATTATTGCTGGGTATGCTCAAAGTGGCAACAGTGAGGAGGCATTACGCATGTTTGTTCAAATGAAGAGAGATGGTGGGAGGATAAATAGGTCGGCGTTTACTTGTGTTTTGAGTACATCTGCTGACATTGCTGCATTTGAGTTTGGAAAGCAAATACATGGTCGACTTGTCAAGGCTGGATATCACAGTGGGTGCTATGTCGGAAATGCACTCCTATCAATGTACTGTAAGTGTGGAAGTATTGACGAGGCATATGATGTGTTCGAGGAGATAGCGGAGAAGGATGCTGTCTCTTGGAACACAATGATCATCGGTTATGCAAGGCATGGATTTGGCAAACAAGCTCTTAGACAATTCGAATTAATGAAAGAAGCGGGTATCAGACCTGATGATGTCACCATGGTAATTGTTGAAACATTTTCTATTCTAAAGTATTATTTCGAGGGTACTGTAAAACTGTTTTTACATTATTGAATCTGTTTAAAACTACTTCATCCCGAATTGCTTAATGCAATAGCATGTAAAGATTGCTCCCATGTGTTGTGGGTTGCCTCAGACACTCAGTTATACACATCATCTGAGATAGGGTTTTTTCTTAATCTTTGTACAGTTGTTAAGGTTTCAGTTTTTTGTGCTTTTCTTACAGGTTGGTGTATTATCTGCTTGTGGCCATACCGGCTTGATTGACAAAGGCATGGAACACTTTTACTCGATGGCTCGAGATTATGGAATAGTTACAAATCCCAGGCATTATACTTGCATGATTGACCTTCTGGGTCGAGCTGGGCGACTGGATGATGCTCAAAATCTAATGAAGGACATGCCTAGTGAACCAGATGCTGCAACCTGGGGTGCTCTCCTGGGGGCAAGTAGGATTCACGGAAACACTGAATTAGGAGAAAAGGCTGCTGAAATGATTTTCAGATTAGAGCCTTGGAATGCCGGGATGTATGTCCTTCTCTCAAATTTATATGCAGCCTCTGGCAGATGGCGTGACGTTAGCAAGATGAGATTAAAAATGAGGGACACAGGAGTAAGGAAAATGCCTGGTTACAGCTGGGTTGAGGTGCAAAATCAGATACATCTTTTTTCAGTTGGGGATACCATGCATCCAGACAGCACGAGAATATATGCTTTCTTGGAAGAGTTAGAATTATTAATGAAGCAGGAAGGTTATGTCTCTGCCACGAAATTGGTCCTGCATGATGTGGATGAGGAGGAGAAGGCACACATGCTCAAGTATCACAGCGAAAAATTAGCGGTTGCCTTTGCAATTCTAAATGTACCATCTGGGAGACCAATTCGTGTGATGAAAAATTTAAGGGTTTGTGGAGATTGTCATACAGCAATCAAACTCATATCGAAGATTGTGGGTAGATTAATTATTGTTCGGGATAGTAACCGTTTTCATCACTTCAGTGAAGGTGTTTGTACTTGTGGAGACTATTGGTAACGCTAGAGAGTAGAGTGTGAAAGTATACTTAGCTATTGTGCTGGTCATCTCCATAAGTGTTGAGGATTTGCACACATGGAAGCAAAGCACAGAAGAGGGATAAGTGGATAATCCCTTTCTTGTTGTTTGGTGAATTTGGCGCGTATAATCTGTGATCTCCTCATTAATATTGGTAAAAAGGATATATGCTGAGATGTATCATCCATAATTGTTGCACTTACGCACCCACCCTATAACAAAAGGAAGAGAAATAGTTTCCTCAAGTTTCTCAGAGATCTGATAATCAGAATAGAGTGCCGTGAATTTGTAGGTGGGGTTTAGCAGTTGTGCCTCTTAAAATAAATAAAATTATCACTTCAGGAGTACTTTGGTCCTCTGTTATCTGGCGAGAGATTCTTGATTGGCTCCTTCAACCTGTCTGGCCTAAACGCATGACAGTGACTGTTTGTTGGGTATCATAAATCTGCTCTACCCTAAGCTCACTGACTGATTTCCTGCTTCTTTGAGTCCCAGTAGCTAAGCGGTAGTGATACTATTGTGGCCCTCAGCATTTACACATAGTTGAACTCTCCTCAAAATCTGCTATCTATCTGCAGCCACGAGAAAAATCATCCTTCTCTTGATATGGTGAAGATTACATGTATTGGATGGCTAGACAATCACCAAACTCACTTGTAGTTGGTACTGGTATCCTTCTGAGTTTTGAGAGCTAAAGGTAAGAAAATTTTATGTCGTCCTTGATTCATCTTCCTATGATCAACAGTTTGTGTCAAGTTCACTTACGATATTTATTGTTAATCTGTTGTTAGCAGTGATAGCACAGTCCCTGTAATTTGTAGTTTCTGTGTTGCTAAACTAGTTACGTTCCGTTTCAGGAAGAAAGCCTCTTGGTTGAGAGTGCATGAGAACTGCGAAGGAGAGAATCATTTTTGTACAATAACTCTCTTGGTTGAGAGGGTTTAAAATGCAAAGACGATGACAACAACAATAACAAAGTCAACAACAATACCTAGTAATAACCCATCAAAATGGGGTTTTGGGATGAGTAGAGTGTAAATAAACCTTATCATTATTTCGTAAAGGTAGAGAGGTTGTTTATGAAAACACTTGGCTCCAGTGTAGCAAATCTAATACAGAGAAGAGAACAATATAGAAACTTTTTTGGCATTATATCAAAATACTGTAACATCCCATTCAAACTATTTTTTTTGGCATTACACCTAATTTTATAGTTTTATTCCACTTTTCCAACCCATGCACATATTATAAATAATTCAAGTCAGAATTAGAAAGTAAAGATTAGACAAATATAAAAAAAAAAAAAACTATTTGACATTGTTGTCAGATGTTAAAGTTACTTACTTTTGTTAAGGATAAATGTACTTCGAATCTAACTAAGATAGATAAGTAGAAGTATTGTAAATATATGTATGATTTTTCATATTATATAATACAATTATCGTACTGTTCCTCAATAAAATATACTCCATTCTCCAACCATTTCTATTTAATAGAGACAATAAATCATGTGGTTATCAACTAATTTTATTATTTCATATTTTTCTTTATATTCCTCAATATTTATAATTATAAATTATTATAGTGTTAATATTGATTTTTACTGACTTATCACTTGCTTAATATAATTCTCAAATTCTCTTCTTATTAATATTAGATAGATAAATTCGTTTGGTTTAATTGTGAATTTTTGCTTTTAGATTTTTTAGTTACCTTTTATATCTCTTCCATTCAAAATGTATGGACAATAATATTTATTTATATTATCTAACTATTTCATTATATTCTAAAATTAGAGTTCGAAGCATAAGGGGCAAACATAATTGTCATTAATTTAATTTTTTTAACCACAAGGGTACGTAGCGATTTTGTTTTTACGCCGTTAAATTTAAAGCTCAAAATCACTAACCTACCAGCGATTTTGTCCGAATTTTTTTCAATTTTTAAAAGAAAATCGCTGCCCATGCAACGTTTTTGGCCATTTCTTTTTTTAAAAAAATTAAAATCGCTATGACTACAAATTTTTTATTTTGAAATATAATTTTTTTAAGAAAAAAATAGCTGCCTAAACATCAATTTTTGTGAAACTTTTTTTTTTCTTTTCGTAAAAATCGGTGCCTTGGCAGTCAAGCAGCTATTTTAGTAATCTAATTATTTTTTTAAATATCGCTACCATTTTTTCTTCTTAAAATCGTATTAAATGTTGGCAAATTCTATTTTTTCTTAAAAAATAATTGGCAGTGAAATATTTTTTTAAAAAAAAAAAATCACCAACATAACTACTTGGCAGCGATATTTTTGTAAAATAAAAAAAAATCAGCGATTTTCCGAAGAAAAAAAAATTCACAAAACGCTGCCATTTTTCTATATATTAGAAAGGAAAGTTTCAACATGTTAGTTTTTAGTCATTGATAACAATTTTGAGGATATCATAATCGTTGACACGTTGTTGCAAGATTTGGTTGTTTAAAGTGGTTGTCCTCTATACTCAGTTATTTAGACCTCATTATTAGCTCCAAAAAAAAAAGTCATCATTTCCATTTAAATTACGAACCGTACCCTAAAATTGAAAAGTCTCCACGACTTTCCAACTTACACATTACACTTATTTTGTAATTTTCTTCGTATACTTTTCATTTCCATTTGAATTTGGTGAAATATAATTATCTATTTCTATAATAATGTATAAAGATTCAGATTAAAATATTTAAATTACTTTACCTTGCTCTAATTAACTTCACATATTTATCATTCAAATCTCGTGAAGGACAATTACTTATTTAAAGGTAATTTTGTAATTGGACTCTAAAAGCTATTTGGCATAGTTCTTTTAAAAAATATTTATACTGAAGAATTTGGAAAAATATGGCTTGTTGATATAAGACAGAGAACACTTGTAGTCAATAAAAATATTACATATAAATATAAATTTGTAAGTGAAATAAAAAATAATAATTAAAATAGGGCAATTTTAACATATAACAAACATAAATTTTATATTTGTAGGATTTAACAAATTTTGTATAATTGCGTTTCATAGCAAATTTATATTATAATTCGACATACATATACAATTGTTTGAAGCGAAATGTATAAAACAAGAAGGAAAGAAATTATATACAATTTGAATTGTATAAAATGAGAAAGCGAGATATATGCAAAATTGAATTGTATAAAACGAGAAATAGAAAAATTATATACAATTTGAATTTGTATAAAACAAGAATGATAGAAAGACAAAAAGAGACTGGTGCAGGGAATATACAATTGAATCGAATTGTATAAAACGAGAAAGAGAAAAATTATATACAATTTGAATCTGTATAAAACGATAAAGGCAAAATGAGATTTGAGCAGGGAAATATTAGTATTTTATAATGATATGTGTATAGGACGAAGATATATGTATTTGCATGCATTTATACAATTTTCTCTTGCTTTATACAATTAAAAATACAATTTATACAACTCTATTGTTTAAAGCGAGAGAGGCGAGCGACAGGAAGCGAGTGAGAGAGGAATAGTGGCGAGCGAGAATATGAGGGAGAGAGGGACTAACAAAAAGTTTGTTATGGAACACAAATAAATCAAATGGTAGTTACTATATTTATTTTAGACATAATACATATATTGGACCTTAAACTTGACTTCAAATTTTAACTTTGACCTCCAACTTTCATAGTGCACAAATAGTCACTTTAACTATCATATCTTTCAATAAATGAACACGCAAGTCCAACATGGCAAAACGGTAAAAAATGCTTAAATTACTATTCTACCCCCTTCCTTCAATTTCGGCCATCAATGGCAACCCAAAACCCCTAATCATTTTACCCAATCGTTCTCCTTTTTCCTCCACACCGGAGCACAACCGATGAAGTGAACGAGCTAAACCCACCAAATACCCGACCCCAAATCCATCAGTTCCGTTGTCTCCGTGCTGCAACCAGCAGCTCAAACAGATACAAAAACATCAACCAAAACCCCACGAAAACAGACCCAACAACCACGAAAAAACTAAATCAAGAAGCCGATCATCAACAAACCTCTAAACTCCGTCAAGCAAGAAGCTCCAAGCTCTAAAAACCACTAGGATGAATTATTTGTTACTCTTGTATATAAATTAATTAAAATTAATTTTGATTCTTCTATATAAATTAAAATTCATTTTGATTTTTTTAGTTCTAAAATTGACGTGTAAAATAGTTAGCTAGTCGGCAGTCATTGAGTGACTCACTGATACAAGTTGAAGCGATTTCCTTTCACGCTCTTTGACAGTAAATCACATGTTTATTTATTGAAAAGTATGATTGTTAAAGTGTCTGTTTTGTGCACTATGAAAGTTGAAAGTCAAAGTTAAAATCTGAAGTCAAGATTATGGTTCAATATATGTATTATGCCTTTATTTTATATTATTAATTTGTCATCTTATACATTTATCTATTAAAATATCTAAATACCTGAAAATATACTTTATAGTCCTTCTAAAAGAGAATAGATTATGTCTAGCCCATTTTCTTCTTTAAGATAAATACATACATTATGAAAAAAGTGATATAATAATATATTCACTATATACACATTTATAAGTACATTCATATATCTACTCTAGACTATATTTACTTTTTATCAAAAAAAAATTAATAAAATTAGAATGCATGAATACAATGTTGAAGAAAAATTAATTTGTGTTGTGACCGCCACTTGTAAAAACATGAAAATATTGAATCAATTTTTTCTTCATAGAAAATAAAAAAATATGAAGAATATAGTAAATAAAATTTCACCAATAAAACTAATGATCAATAAAAATAGTAATAATTACTTAACTAAGGCATGCATATAGTAGTGAAAAAAATCTGACAAGTGTAACCATCACGCATCTATATAAACTAAAATTCTAAAATTAAATAAAAAAATCTCTATAAAATGAAGTATATAAAAATATAGTATAATTCACCAATAAAACTAGTTAATGATGTGAAAAAAAATTGACAAGTGTAACCATCACGCATCTATATAATTAAAATTGAATAAAAAAAGTCTCTAAAAAATGAAGTACGTAAAAAATATAATATAATTCAACAATAAAACTAATTAATGATCAGTAAGTGTAGTAATTCTTACTCTAATTGATGCATGTACCTAGTAATTAGTAGCAAAAGAATAAATAATACTAGCATATAATGCTACCATCACTTATTAACATACTAAAATAATGAAAATATCAAATTGTTTTTGTCTTATAGAAAATGAAACAATATGATAAATGAAGTAAATAAAATTCACTAATTTTTTACCTACTTTCTTTTCATTTATCTTTTTTTTTTCTTTCTTTTATTTGTTTTTTATTATACTTTTTAATGTTATTTTTATTACTACAATTTCTATTATTATTATTGTTGTTGTTGTTGTTGTTGTTATTATCATTATTATTAATATTTTATATCTTTTATATTTTAATGTAATATGTAAATTAAATATTTTTAGATTTATTTTACTGTACTTGAAATGATAAATTTACGAAAATAGTAGAGCTTATTTATATGCTTTTCTATCAGATTCCTATTCATTATGGAAGGTTTTCAGTTCTTTTTTTCTTTTTGGATTATCAAACAAAATTATTATTTTTCCTTATGTTGATTTGATTAAACTTTTATTTTAAAATGTAAATATCCAATATAAAAAATCTAACAACTATACTAAAAAGAGTCTTCAAACGTGTTTTTAAAAAATTTAAAATTATATCAATGCATACAATTTAAACAAATTGCTAATAAATGTAAAATTAGGTCTTAGACCTAACTTACGCCCCAAAAGTTAGCTTAACGGGAGGAGGATTGCTAAACTTCACGCCCAGTGTTTAGCATCTAGTGCGTGGATAATTTTGATTTTGGGGACTCCAACATCGATTGAGACGGACCCTGCTCTGATACCATGTGAAATTAGGTCTTAAGCCTAACTCACATCCCAAAAGTTGACTCAAAGGAAGGAGGATTGTCCAAACCTTATAAGGAGTCCACCAATCTCATTACCACCGATGTGGACTTTTGTCATTCATCAACAATAAGGTTGAAGCGCTATCTAGAAATAATAGTATTTTTTTTTAAAAAAAGAAAATAATATGCATGATAAGTTATTGTTGTAACTATTATTACCATGTTTGTTATTGTTATTTGCTTTT